CACCGATGCACACAAGAAAATATAAAAAAATAGAAAACAGAATATAATTACAAAATCTCTATGTTGCAACTTGAGTAGTCCTCTTTTGCAAAAATTTTCATGTTGTTGACTCCCTAACGAACCAAGTTCACAACCAATTAAAAAGGCTGGAGGCTGAACTAGAGCCTGAGCCAAATCTAATATATGTGGCCGGGGAAAAAATCCATTACTAGATCTAGTGAAGCTATGGCCACCAAACCAAAAGCCGCCATATTATAGTTAGTCTCACTCCCATGCATCCACGAATGGCGAGTTACGTGGATCCAAAAGCTGCAGGCAATTGTCTGAAATGTGGATATATAAGAAAGTAGGATGAAGTTTGAAAAGTTCCACTAAATTCGTTCATGAAATATAATTCGAAGTTACACTATTTGAATTTGTATATATTAACATATTTGTCTAGAAACGTAGGACAAAGTCAAAATGATCTATATCAATATACTCCCTCCATTCCAAATTATAATACGTTTTGGATTTTCTAGATAATAAATAGCTTTTTTGCTACGTAATTAGATACACACTATGTCTAAATACATAGTAAAAACATAGGCCAACATATATTATATATTAATACCTTATGCAAGGGGGGTAATTAGAAAGGAAATTAATATAGGCCAACATATAGATATATATAGGACTAGTAAGTGCTAGTCCCTCCATTTCAAATTATATGAGGTTTTGTCTTTTCTAGAGACATTGTTTTTACCATGTATTTAGACATAACGTATATCTAATTGCATAACAAAAATTTTATCTAAAAAGTTCAAAAATGTCTTATATTATTATATAGAATAATGGAGGTAGTAGTAACGTTGACCATAAAAGAAAGGTAAGGGCACCCGCAATGGTATAAGCCAGATATTAGCTCCAAGCCATTTCTCCAATAATCCTACCTTTTAGCAATGGCTCATAGTATGATTAGACCAACATGACACTCTCACTGATTTTGGAATTTGTGTATGAGCATAGCTCTTGATCAAAGAGCTAGCTTTTCTCTCTCTTCTATTAAAATATGAAAAAATGCAAAATTGAAACATCAACATCAATTGTCGCATCACTTTCTGCCTATGATACACGAAAGATAAGCTTGCACTTCTTTAGAAATCAAGTGCTACGAAAAGATAATCATAAGAAGATTGTGTTTCACAATACCTGTTTTACAATATATTCTACAATTAAGAATCTAATCTCTCAATAGTTCGACTAAGAGAACGTGCTTTACACAAATACCAAGCTGCAGTTGGTGAACAATCAATGATGATCCAGAAGATTTTCTAGTCCAAGATGCGGCGTCTGACTTCTTGCAGCTGCAGCATGCAAATTGCTGAAGCTATAGTTAGAAGTATTCTGCATATAAGTTGTTTGTTAATTTTTAAAGTTAAAGTAACATTGACATCCTGAAAAAATAGGTATCAACGTGTGATGCATTACCTCTATTATGGAGTTAGAACCTCTTTATATACGATATTCTTTGTGAATATATCCTTTGTCGTTTTCTTCTTTCCATTCCCTTTCCCTTTCCCCTTGTTCACGTCCTTCTCAGCAGCCGGCACAACTAGGATCCTAATGTTCGATCTTGCCGTAGCTCTTGATAGCGCCACATACAATTGACCGTGCGAGAACACTGGTTCCGGCAAGTATACCCCGACGTTAGGGATAGTCTGCCCCTGCGACTTGTTAACGGTCATCGCGAAGCTGAGCCGTATAGGGAACTGCTTTCATTTAAATTGGAAAGGGAACATCTCATATGGCCAGACAGTAACTCATCACATCCTTCATCATCGGCCTCCTCATGAGGTGGAGGAATATAAAGAGGTATTGCTCTGGACTCCGGGATAAACCAATCACTGGATTTCGCCGTGTATCCATCAGCTCCAGATGCTCCCACGGTGGGGTACTAAGGCCTAGGAATATATAACGGGTTCTCCATGGCAATAGACTCTGGGTATAGCGTGTGCTTCCGCATCTCTCTAAATTTGTTGTCAGCTATTTTCAAGATCTCCTTACGCTTGGGTTCACTATTATGCAACCATTGACGCTCACGCCTTGCTTGCCTCTGATCAGGCGTCATATTTTTATAGCGCTCCCTATCGTATTTTTTTTTTGACTCAATTCTCTTAGGGTGGTTCATGGTGTTAGCAGAATCAGATAAAGCTACATAATAACATATGAGCATTATATTAGGAAATATAGACAGCGACATCTTACTTATATTTACAAAATATCTATTATAATGCAACAACACCATAATCATGGAGGAACTTTATAGAAAAATAGTACCTAGCTAGTTTCTCTTTATCAATCTGCATGGGTTGATAGGAATCGTTCCTATGCAACCAATTACTATTTTCATCGTTATTTGTGTCTTCATTGTCTAATACAACTCCATCAGCTACAAGATAATTATTACACCATAAATAAGAGCCAAAGGATAATGCACATTGATTGGATTAAATTTGATTGTTGTGTCACCTCTCGATCCACCAGTGAGGGTAGTTTCTTCGTTTTTTATTGGTATTTTACAGGACGTTTCCTATTTATTTCATTCCTTTGTTCCGCATACCGTGCTCTTTCCCTTTCTCGTTTGGGTTGCTTAGCATCGTTAGCTTGTGTCTATGAATTGGATACACTCTTACAACCTGGTCCATTATAGGTATCATGGATCAATACATAATGAATGCAAATTATTGTTGGTCCACAATAAAAAGAATTTTACTACAGCACGGACGTGTAGTATCTTGCCATCCGGATGCACAGTCCATTTTAGGAAATTTACCTAATAGTTATCATGCCGCACAACAAACTTCCATTTTTGGTAGTTGGCGGACTGCGGACACCACGCACCTAGTGGGCTTCCGCAGCAATTGTGCCTTACGCACTGGACCCGGTCGTGCATACAACACCGGAAAAATGTTCTAGCTTTCTTTTACACGCCACCGTGTCTTCCTTAGGCACTGGACCCGCATAATCTGGAGCGTTTTTGTTTTGTGGAAACATGGTTTTTAGCAATGAGTTTGCAGTATCAGTGGGATTTCTTTCCCTTCGCAATGAAACTAAGTGGCTGCTAACATGTGTGTATGGGCTCTCGATCTATAACTGAAGGCAAGCTAAACTTCATCAACTGGCTCGATATTCAAATGCCTGAAGACCTGTATTGGCTCCTCCTAGGTGACTTCAACCTTATTAGGAAGCCAGAAGATAGGAGCAGCTCTGGTGGAAATCTGACCGAAATATTCATTTTCAATGAATCCATCTGAAAAATTGAATCCCTCTCCATGGGAGGAAATTCACATCGTGCCGATGGGCCGTGTCGGGCCGCCGTCCTTAACTCTCGGCCAAGGCACGGCCCTACAGCCACTTAAACATGACCGGTCGTGCCAAAGGCCACGGCGGCCCACTAGGCCTGTGCCAGCCCGTTGCTGCTCTGCACCTTCCCGCGCGTCACCCCACCACTCTGCTTGCGGAGCTTGGTGGCTCCGCAACTTCTCACGCCGATCCCCGGAAGCCATCCAACGGTAGAAATACATAAGGCCGCATAGTGCCGGCCCAAAAATCGTGTCGTGCCCCAGAGTTGCAGCCGAGGCACGACACTATATCTATTGTCGTGCCAGCATTAGCACCATGGCCTTCGTGCCGTGCCCGTGCCGGTCCATCGGGTTGGCCATCTATACTTGATGTGGGCACAAAGGATCTTTGGATGCAGTCCCAAGGTGCAAAATCAATTTTTGTTCTTGCCAAACTAATTGGGCCGCCATTTGGGGTACTTTTCGTCTACTTTGCACATAAAATTGTTTGTTTTCAAAAAATATATTTCTAGTAGGTGACTACAAACTACTTGATCTAATGATCTGTCTGCCAAGTCAGGGATCACAAGCCGGCGATTCCATAGGTTTGAAATTGACCCCTTTTTTTGAAAGGAGGAACTGACCTCTGGCCACAACCAAACAAGTCGAGTGCAGCCTGCCTCAAGCTTTGACGACAAAGAGATGCTCGATGGCCCAGGTTTGTACTCCATCCATCCCAAAATAAGGGTCGCTATGGCATTCGTGCCGGTCAAACTTTCTTAAGTTTGGCAAATTTGTACAAAAATATTAGCAACATTTAATTTGTATCTCCAAATTAGTTTATTACGAAAATAAATTCAACGATCTATCTAATGGTACTAATTATAAACTATAAATATTAATATTTTCTCGTATATATTTGATCAAAGTTAAAAGTTCTTGACTTCTCATGAAGCGAGAAAGACACTTATTCTGAGGCGGAGGGAGTATGTTTTTTTTAAAGTCAACGGGCGATTTTCCCCAGCTGAATTATTTATTCGTTTGGCTTTGAACGCCATAGTGTTTGACTTCTTACAGTTTTGCAAAAGGAGGTACGACTGGAGGTGGTTTCTTTGTGTGTTGGAGTTGGATGGATCACAAATGCAGCACTGTTTATATAGATACCTCGTCTACATGACGTGAGTTTATCTGGAAGAGAAATCTGGACTCCTTCCTGATGACAGCGACAGATATATAATAGTAATAAGGTCGGGATGCTTGTTTGGCGTTTCATATAAGAGGCGGAGTATCCAGAGAAGAAGGAACACAGGCCATAGTAAAGCGAACGCAGAGGCTCCGGTGGTTCTGGTCAGTAGTCGTATCATGCATGCTTGTGACATGTGTTTCACCTGTGAGTAACAATTGCATGCACCATATATAAACTAAAATGCATAGACGTACTATGTGGGAAAGCTAGCATTAGTAGACATGATGAGAACAAAAACACGATTCATTATTATTATTCCATAACACCCATCGAAATACACGATGGATTATTCATCACACCCATGCACCGAAATGCACTGCGATCGACCAGACATCGCATTATTCCGTTGAACACACACGTAATTAAGTATATAGATTGGCATGCTGCTAGCAACAAGCCAATGCAAGCAGGAGGCTGTGAAGCGAAGCTAGTTAGCCAGCTTGTGGATACGGGTAGGAGTCGTCACCATACACGGTCATGGTTCTAGTATCGACCTTGACGCAGACGCGCGTGTAGTCGGATGGCCACGCATAGGGAAGATCCTCGAGCGGGGCAAGCTCCATTATTGTCACGTCCGGGCGCTCGCTCATGATGGTCTGGTGCGCCTGGTAGTACGGCTGCCCCACCAGCTCCGGCCACTGCGTTTTTTTACCACCGGCCCTAGCATCTCTCTCTCCGGCGGTCGCTCGCGATGGTCTGGGCCGCCAGGTAGTACGGCGGCACCGCCACCAGATCCGCCCACTCCGTTGTAACCACCGGCCCTAGCATTTCTCGGTCCATCTATCTCTCCGGTGCGGTGCCGGGAAGAAGAAGAGAGCTAGCTAGCTAGCTAGCAGGGCGATGGATGTCGAGCTGCACTGCTTGTGGTCTGCTGTTAGCTGCTTGTGCTGCTGCTGAGATCGAAGTGGCCTATATATAGTATGCGCGCGCGCTCATCACGTACAGAATACCACATCGTGTAGTCAGTCGCCCTCGCTCACGTACAAAACCATGCAGCTAATAAGTAGCACTAATGCATGTCTACCATATGGGTTACACATGGCAAGACAAACTATATTGCGCGTGCACTTACGCACGTTTATATAGGTACTAGGTAGCGTGTCCGTGCGTTGCTATGGGACAACTAAACTTTTGCTAAAAAAAACATACGGATCGCACGATAAGATACAATACTGTGAAATTAAATATTAATGTTAAAGTAATATTTAATCCAAAAAGTAAAGTTCGTGAAATTGACAGTCACCGAAAGCAATATAATATCATAGAAATTGTAATTTAAACATGTGTTAAACAGTTACTAAAAAATGAATCTTTGAACACGATGAGACTATCATTCCACCATCATCCACTGTCATTTCACTCTTGCGGACATCGGTTGTATTCCATAAAGGAGTCGGTCTACATGCTACACGGGAAGCTAAGCGGTGCAGAGACCGTCGACCTCAGAGAGCGATGGCCAGTTGAGGTCAACGGATGCACAGGTCGACACTATGTCCATTCAGCTTTAGTTGTTCTTTTGCAAAAGCATCATGCTCACAAGTTTTTTCTCATATGACAACGAGCAAATCAGTGTGCTCATAACAACGAGAAGAAATGGCACTGCCATTCTCCGAACGAAGAGTGCAATAAAGCATCTAAAGTTCAGTTATCTGGTACCAAGGTAATTTGAAACTTTCAATTAATTATAACTAAATATGTACAAAATTGTTTAAATTAACCATGTCCAACTCCAGAACTATTTCAAAATTTCTTCCAGCATGGTGTTATGGTGGCTTTTGGTCCTTGTTCACAGCTTTCAAGCATTCGTTGGCATCTCTTTTCAAATCAGTCTTCAAATGCCGCTCCTGCTCATCTCATTGCACAAAAAAAAGTGCAGTCAACCCAACCCATCAGATATGTGGTACTACCAAACATTTCTGGTCCTCAATATCACAGAATTAAGCACCGTTGACAGTCGACACCACGCAGATACTCCAAGATAACAAGCAAAGAGAAAAGCAAAGTAACCGAAGTTTCAGTAGTCGTATCATGCATGCTTGTGGCATGTGTTTCACCTGTGAGTAACAATTGCATGCACCATATATAAACTAAAATGCATAGACGTACTATGTGGGAAAGCTAGCATTAATTGACATGATGAGAACAAAAACACACGATTCATTATTATTCCATAACACCCATCGAAATACACACTAGTAAAAAAAGGGCTTCTATTTCTGGCTGCCAACCCCCTTTATTCCCGGTTACGCAGCTGGGAATAGGAGTTCGGGAATAAAGGGTTAGTAGCCGGGAATTGAAGTGGACCTTTAGTCCCGGTTGGTGATACCAACCGGGACTAGAAGTGAACATTTAGTCCCGTTGGTACTAAAAAAGTAGCCACGCCAACATTGGGCTGGCCCTTTATTCCGGTTGGTATTACCAACCGAGACTAAAGGGTCTTTTTTTTCATTTCCTGCTTATTTCAATTGATGATTATTTTTTGTTTTAATTTGGTTTTCGAATACGCATTATTCGCTGCAAAGTAATATACGTATACGCGCGCGTACTGTAAAGTTTTCGCTCGATCAATGCACGCAAGCAACACAAGTAAAAGTAAACTAAAACATAATATTACATTTCATCGTCACATGTAAAGTTTGCATTAATTGTACATTTTATCATCACATGTTCTTTGGATCAATATGAAATTTGGCTTTCATCATCACATATTTGGGTCATAGTAAAACTCGCCGCCGGGAGTTAAGACCTGATCATTCAGAAATCCACCTATTGTCTCTTGGATTGCTTTGAGATGGTGTGTGTCCAGAGTTTTTTCCTTCAACCAGCGAGTCTTCAATTTGAGATATGAGATAAAGAAAAAGTATATTAGTATATATATATATGTATATGTATGTATCAAGAATAATGATAAATAAATTGTATCTATCACGAATATATATATATATATATAAATATATGTATGAAGAATATATATATATGTGTACACTTACCCTTTTTTCCTCTAGACTAGTTCTTTTTGAGCACACTCTCATGAACTCGCAAACATAGTATCCACAGAGATTGGTCCCCTGGGGCTGCAGCAGAACCCACTTTACGAGAAAAAGATTTATCATCATCTGAGCATAGGGAAATTGAACTAAGGTAGGTATATAGTACTTACTTTGTATAGCACTACTTTCAGTGGCACTTTGTGTTTCATATGGTGTTCCTGACAGACCTTTTCCCAACAGCTACCAAATAACATAAAAATATTTGGACCATTAATTTGCATGCAGAGAGACTGGAATAGTTTTGCTAGTGAGACTGCAATTACCTCTGAATAATATCTATCATCTCTTGGAACTCTTTTTGCTCTTTTCTCATCGAGTCCCAGATGCCTAGATGACCTTTCTCCGAGATCCAGTTCCATCAATATCCGATGTTCATTTGCCATGTCCGTTAACACTCATTAATTAGCTAACAGGTACAGTGAACATATATATATGGATACACGATTGTCGACATTATGAACACTTACCTGAAGTTGTAGGGGAAGAGTATACATTTTTTGTCACGTTGCTTCTCTAAGAACATCTTGATATTGGCCTCCGTTTCTGCTTTCCATGTTGGATGGGGTTTAGGGTTTTTGAATATGATATGTGGATCAATGAAACCAATATCAATACACCCTCTCTTTTTGCACTCTCCCATCTCAAACCTGCATCATATATATAGAGTGAGGATAATAAACACAGACATATACGTACGTAGCGACTTGTTATTAATTAGTAGAAAGAATCACTTACAGACAATAGCAGCTAATGAGAGTCTTATCGAGAGAGTTCCGGTGGACTAGTTGGTGTAATTCAGCAAACTCAATGTACATAACGTCATCGCCACGGAACCAATGGTCGTCTTTGATTCTGACAGAAATATAGAACTCTTTCCGGTGACACGCGTCGAGGTACAAGGTGTTTAGCTTGAACAATTGTGTACCCAGTTCATTGATGGTCTTAGGATTCCATAGACTCCTACCATGCTCATATTTCTGCCATTCATCCGCTACCGACGCACTTTCGAAGAGGAAATCGCCAAGGTCGATACCTCTCATAGCATAAAAGTTAGCAAGTTCTGTCATATCCACTTCTTTATCAGCAGGTATTTCCATCATATCCAGCATATCTATGTTTGAACCATATTCATTAGCAATAACTAGAGGAGGGACTGATTGCAATTCTTGTTCTCCGAGTTGTGCAACAGTTTTCCCTGCTTTAGCAGCTTTCTTGATTATCTTGCTAAGAGTGCGGTCAAAGTCTGATGGTGGAGAGGGCTTACGAGCTTGCCGCCTCTTTTTTCTCGCTTTCGGCTTCCACCATCCGCTTAGTTTAGCTGGAGGTAGGTGGAAGTGCTTCTGCTCCTGCTGCTTCCTCTTCCCTGTGCCTAAGGAGAATGCTTCGACGGTTTTTTTAACCGCATCATCTAACTCCTCTTTACTCATTTCACCATGCAATTTCTATGGAATTGGCCTTGGTTTCACAGGGGCCTTCATGGTCGTCTTCACCGGCGGGGCAGATGGCTTATTTGTTTGCAGCCGTCTTCCCTGGTTCATGGGAGGAGGTGGGGGAACAGGCGTTGGAGACCTTCGAGGCGGCGTTGGGGAACGCCTTGGAGGTGGGGGAACAGGCGTTGGAGACCTTTGAGGTGGTGTTGGGGAACGCCTTGGAGGTGGGGGAACAGGCGTTGGAGACCTTTGAGGCGGCATTGGGGAACGCCTTGGAGGCGGTGGCGGCGGCGGTGGATCCTCTCTGCCTCCTCATCCTTCTGTCTCTAGCGGCTTCTGTACGAATCGATCCATTCAGGGAAACCTTGCACCCACGGAACGACCCCTTTGCCTCTAGTTCGTCCACAATGCTCAGCGGTCCTGATGGAATATGTCAGTTCATCTTTCTCTCTGTTGGGCCGGAATAGTCCACTATCTCTAGCTTTTAGAATTTGAATCAACCTTTCTGTTGCTCTTTCGAGTTTTGTGCCATGGACGAGCTTCCCGGTGACTGGGACCAATCCTCCCCCATGACCTAAAAACCAACGCTTTGTGCATTTAGGCCACGGTCTTGATTCAGTCGACCCGTTGGCAATAAGGTGCTGCTTCTATTTTTTTGCCACTTGGGAGCGAAAGTCGGCGTAGCCACCTAATCCCATGTTATTGTGGTATTGCTTTTGTCTAGAATTCTCTTGGTTCCTTCTCACCCGTTCCACACTCTCTTCTGATGTCTTGTACTATACAAATTCCTCCTAGTAGGGCCTTGCCTTCACGATTGGGCCCTTATCGTTCCAATTTGGAGTCTTGTTCTTCTTGACGTATGATTTGTATGCAAATTTGCTTCTTCCAAGATTGGAATTGGGTGGCCATCTTCTTCATTGTCCGATTACCCTAACTCGCTCCGTCAACCTTTAGTGGGTGATGTCTTCGTGATAATCATCTGTTTGGCGTGAAATGTGCAAGAACATCTTGCCAAATCAGCTCCTTGTCCTTATCGGAGACATAACTAATATGTGGAGCATTGTTATTTTTTTTCCATTCATGGGCATTGATCGGGGAGCTTGTCCCTTA